ATAAATGTATGAAAGAGGGGAAGGTACCTAGGGATTGGCGGAGAGCATGTATAGTCTCTTTATATAAAGGGAAAGGGGACAAAAGAGATTGTAAAAATTATAGAGGAATAAGTTTACTGAGTATACCAGGAAAAGTATACGGTAGAGTTATAATGAAAGAATTAGAGGTAAGACAGAATGTAGAATTGTGGATGAGCAAGGAGGCTTCAGAGTGGGTAGGGGATGTGTAGATCAAGTGTTTACATTGAAGCATATATGTGAACAGCATTTAGATAAAGGTAGGGAAGTTTTTATTGCATTTATGGATTTAGAAAAGGCATATGATAGAGTGGATAGAGGAGCAATGTGGCAGATGTTGCAAGTATATGGAATAGGTGGTAAGTTACTAAATGCTGTAAAGAGCTTTTATGAGGATAGTGAGGCTCAGGTTAGGGTGTGTAGAAGAGAGGGAGAATACTTCCCAGTAAAAGTAGGTCTTAGACAGGGATGTGTAATGTCACCATGGTTGTTTAATATATTTATAGATGGGGTTGTAAAAGAAGTAAATGCTAGGGTGTTCGGGAGAGGGGTGGGATTAAATTATGGGAATCAAATTCAAAATGGGAATTGACACAGTTACTTTTGCTGATGATACTGTGCTTATGGGAGATTCTAAAGAAAAATTGCAAAGGTTAGTGGATGAGTTTGGGAATGTGTGTAAAGGTAGAAAGTTGAAAGTGAACTTAGAAAAGAGTAAGGTGATGAGGGTGTCAAATGATTTAGATAAAGAAAAATTGGATATCAAATTGGGGAGAGGAGTATGGAAGAAGTGAATGTTTTCAGATACTTGGGAGTTGACGTGTCGGCGGATGGATTTATGAAGGATGAGGTTAATCATAGAATTGATGAGGGAAAAAAGGTGAGTGGTGCGTTGAGGTATATGTGGAGTCAAAAAACGTTATCTATGGAGGCAAAGAAGGAAATGTATGAAAGTATAGTAGTACCAACACTCTTATATGGGTGTGAAGCTTGGGTGGTAAATGCAGCAGCGAGGAGACGGTTGGAGCAGTGGAGATGTCCTGTTTAAGGGCAATGTGTGGTGTAAACATTATGCAGAAAATTCGGAGTGTGGAAATTAGGAGAAGGTGTGGAGTTAATAAAAGTATTAGTCAGAGGGCAGAAGAGGGGTTGTTGAGGTGGTTTGGTCATTTAGAGAGAATGGATCAAAGTAGAATGACATGGAAAGCATATAAATCTATAGGGGAAGGAAGGCGGGGTAGGGGTCGTCCTCGAAAGGGTTGGAGAGAGGGGGTAAAGGAGGTTTTGTGGGTAAGGGGCTTGGACTTCCAGCAAGCGTGCGTGAGCATGTTAGATAGGAGTGAATGGAGACGAATGGTAACTTGGGACCTGACGATCTGTTGGAGTGTGAGCAGGGTAATATTTAGTGAAGGGATTCAGGGAAACCGGTTATTTTCATATAGTCGGACTTGAGTCCTGGAAATGGGAAGTACAATGCCTGCACTTTAAAGGAGGGGTTTGGGATATTGGCAGTTTGGAGGGATATGTTGTGTATCTTTATATGTGTATGCTTCTAGACTGTTGTATTCTGAGCACCTCTGCAAAAACAGTGATAATGTGCGAGTGTGGTGAAAGTGTTGAATGATGATGAAAGTATTTTCTTTTTGGGGATTTTCTTTCTTTTTTGGGTCACCCTGCCTCGGTGGGAGACGGCCGACTTGTTGAAAAAAAAAAAATATATATATATATATACAGTGGACCCCCGCTTAACGATCACCTCCAAATGCTGCCAATTATGTAAGTGTATTTATGTAAGTGCGTTTGTACGTGTATGTTTGGGGGTCTGAAATGGACTAATCTACTTCACAATATTCCTTATGGGAAAAAATTCGGTCAGTACTGGCACCTGAACATACTACTGGAATGAAAAAAGTTCGTTAACCGGGGGTCCACTGTATATATATATATATATATATATATAAAGCTTCATGTTGTGAAATAATGATAACATCAGTTTACAGTGTCATTTTAAGTATAATTTGAATTTGATGAATGTCCAATGTAAGATTGACTGCTTTCTTTAATTCATCCACTGTGATTTTAACAAACTTTTTATGGCACAGTAAAACCAAAGTTGAATATCAAAGAAATATAATTGATAGCCTGGTATAATGTACAGAAACCCATTTCCATTCATAGCTTCTACAGGTGTTTGTATGTATTGTATTTGTATCAATGAGTGTATGTATGTATGAATGTATGTTCTTGATATATGCACATGCTGTAAGTTAATGAAGTGTCCTTGAATGTCCACGTCTTCCACTCAGTCTGGGAATACGCAACGCTCACACTGGTACACTGTTCCACAAATTTGTGGAACATAGTGTACCAGTGTGAGTGTTACGTATTCCCAGACTGAGTGGAAGGCGTGGACATTCAAGGACACTTCATTAACTTACTTATTTTTATCCAGGGTGGTTAGTGTAAGGGAAAAGCTTTGGCGGCTAATATTGGTAGAGCTTAGAATATCATTCATAGTCATTGTAAGATATACTGTATTTACATGTTTTTTAGTAATAATTTGTTAAATCTTTCTGAAAGAATACCTGAAAAGTATATATCAAATGGGTAATACATTCCAGGTTCCAGTGCATTGCATTGGTCTTTCAGTATGTATCAGAATGAAGGTTTTATGCTGCTGTATAATATCCAGTTGTATTTTTTAACAGTGTAACAGTTTAATGCAATCTTCTATATTGCTGTCAGAAGCGAATGATGTTTTTTTTGTGTTCAAAAGTTTATGTAAGAAGACAAAAATAAACTTTTTCACCTATTACTCTTTTTCACCAAGTGTATACATTTTTTTCATATATAGGCAGAGTGAAAAGTTTCACTGGCTGGTAAATTCATGACAAGACCTGCTGTATTTATTAGTTTTTACTTCACATAAACTAAAAACAATTACCAGTATTCGAAATATACTGTAGTGTCTATTTTAGATTAATGTGTGAAGTGTAATGTAGCTTTAAAACGTTTTCTATACCAGCAATATATGTAATTTCTACTTCTGTACCTTAATATCTAGTGGGTTGTGCATATTAACAATAGCCTCTCAAACATGAATATTCATGAAATTTTGTATATTGTAATGTATATAAAACTACATTGAAGTAAATGTCATTACAGTATTTTTTTATTTATATGAACTTTTTTTTCTTTCATGCTGAACGAATTGCAAAAACAAGATCCTTCATTAGCTAGGAAGTATGATGAATTTCTGTAATAAAGAGTAATACAAATTTTGGAATAATTATGGCAAAAGCTAGCAATGTTTTGTTTTCTTTAACTGTTTTATGAGACATGGACCAGAGGACAATTTTGCAGTTTAGTCTTGGGATACTGCACTTATGGGATATAATAACCAATGAACCTTTTCTGGTCACAGTTGCAAATCTCTTGATTAAGGGCCCTTCAGTGATGTGGCTTGAGGCTGGTGAAGGGCTCTTGATCTAAGGAATTGGAGCTACCCTCCCCTTGAATCAAACCTTATTACCTCCCATTCCCCAGTCACTATATGACCGATATATATTGAATGCTTCACCAATAATAATCCTTTGGTAAAGGAATCTTTAAGGTTATAACCATTTTGCTAGATTACAGTTAATGATGTTTAATAATTATCCACTAATTAACCAAGTTCTTAAATTATTAATTTTTATTATTGTTTTACATTCAAAATTTTAGATTTGATCTTTAATTTTGCTTTGATGCATAGTACCGGTAATTACATTAGTTCAGGAGACATGAACTGTGCAGGTCTAGCACTTTTAGGGTATACTGTATTATAATGTAGTATTATCATCATTATCTAAATAAAAGTATTGTACAATATTATGTTCTAAAGCATTATTATTCCATTATTATTCACAAAAAAAAAAAAAAAAAAACTGGAGAGAAAACATCTTTACTGCTCCAAAGAGTGAACTATTCAGGCCAGGTATTGTGACTTAACTTTCCTTTCATGTGAGGTACCTTAAACACTGGTGAAGGACTCTTGATCCAAAGAACTGGAATTAGCCTTCCAGTAATTTAATCAGATCCAATTGCCTGCCACTCCCCCTTGTGCTGTTATTATAATCAAAAAAGTGCTAAACCTACAAGGGTCATGCAGCCTCCCTTGTGCTATGTCATCCCTTTGGGTTTAGTAGCTCCTGCAAAATATAGTAATGCATGACCACTAGAGGTGTAGCACTCGCCCATGAAATAACAAAATGCAGCATACTTCTGTTATAATTGCTCCCACCTCTCGAGGGGGATTCCTTGACGCTGGCAAGTGGCTCTTGATCTAGGGAATTGGATTTGTGCTCCAGTTTCCTGAATTGAGCCTGAATGCCTTCCATCCTTTCCACCACAGGTGCTGTATAATCCTCCAGGTTTAGTGCTACCCCATGATTATAATAATTGCTCCCACATTCAGGGCCAGGGTAAGCAGATACTGTTTTAATTATTTAAGATCTTTCAGTAGTTATAGAAAGTAAGTCTTGATTCTTCCTAGTTTACATCTCTTTAAGGGAGGTTCATTGATGCTAGTGAGGGACTCTTGACCCCCCCTCCTTCCTTGGATGAGGGGCTCTTGATTTAGGGAATTGGATCTGTGCTCCAGTTCCCCGAATTAAGCCTGAATGCTTTCCACATCCCCCCCCCCCAGGCGCTGTATAATCCTCCGGGTTTAGCGCTTCCCCCTTGATTATAATAATAATAATCCTTCCTTGGATCAAAGCATATTGCCTCCCATTCTCCCTCTCTCTCCCCTAGTGCTTTATTACCCTTAAGGGATTAGCACTCTCCCCATGAACATACTAATAATTCTCAATTCAAATAAAATAAAAACATATCAAAACTCATTTAAATAGTTTACTCTTAATTTTAATTGTGTGGATACAGGGTATCTAATACAGTTGTTAAATATATACTTTGTCAAAATGTACGAGTAAAAGTACAACAATTTGTTAAGTTTATTTAAACCAATCCTTAAAATGTGAAAGTAGCTGACAATTTTAAGTAAATTTTCAATGCATGTAAAAATCCCACTATTTAAAAATAAAAATAATCTGGTATTTTTATAGTGTGGAACTGACAATGTCATAATCCAAATTCGAGCAAAGCAGAATTAATACTGTATAATACTGTGTAAATGAGTGGCATGAAATGCTAAACCATTATTATTTTGTATGACTAAAAATGAAATTAATGAAACAAATTTTTGGTTCGCATAACCAAAAATTAAAACTAATCTCTGACAGCAATGTATGAAAACTACCATTTGCTAATAGGAACACAAAATTACATGTCTATATGGCATACTTATTAAAAATTAATAGGGTCCCTTAGTTGAGGGTTGTCTGTTGAGGCTAGTATTAATTACTAGGCCACCTCCAATAACGAAGGTAAGACAAGCCATCAGCCATGTTTCACTATCAGATGACTCGGTGCAAGTGTTTCCAAGCAGCAAAGGGGATAAAAAAAATTTAATCCCCAATACCTAGTGAAGACTGCAAGCTAGAACAGTCACCAAGGATATACATGTACCTTAAATTGAACTTGGCAAGCATACAAGTGTTTTATTATGCAAAAGCATTATTAATGCAAGAATATATAAACTGTACTGTAGTTTTACTCTTTCCAGTTGTCTAACAATGAATTTGAGAAACAGGCTGTAAGCTTTTCATCTCCTTCAAAGGGAGAGACATGTCACACGCTAGTTCACCTCTGATAGGCAGAGATAAAAAACAGCTCAAGATATGCTAAATCTAACAATCGGAGGGTAATGCTCAACTCCTTGCCATTATCATATGAAAGACAGTCAAGCCATTGTTTAAACATACATTATCTACCATTTTATCATCCAAGTCACTTTGCTTCTACACTTACTAACATTTTTTTTGGGTAACAGAAAATACAAGAATTTTTGGTAATATAGTAACTTCCAAACAAAATGTTTACCAAATTATAATAATAGAATGCATTATTATAGCATAATGTACGTAACTGAAAATTTTTAAACCACGTTTATAAACTATGAAATTTGAAAATACAGTATTAAGTGACTAGATTACAAAAATGGTAAAATAGTTAAAAATCATTGCAGGTATTTTTGTTATGTACAACTTAACTAAGCAAACATCACATTCAATCATTACTGTACATATTATCACTACAAAAGACTATATCTAATGAGCACTTTTGAGGAGCCATAGGAGGCATATCATTAATGTTGAAACAATAATTTATGACAAAATATCTCATGTACTGAAGACCCCTAACATTTAAATTTAAGTGTTTACAGGAAACATTTAAAGTGTACTGACAGCACCCACAGGAGACAATATTGTGTTGCAAAGAGGATAATGTGTTTTTAAAAGGTGACTGTGTATTTGTGCAATTTAACCACCTTTAAAGCAAGTTAAATTGTAGGTGCTTTTCATGATCTCTCACATTCATCCTCAATGAGGAGTGATAACATCATCGAGATAACACAAATGCACTTGAAACTTACCATAATTCCCTTTTAAAGTGGTTAAATATTAAAGTGTATATTAACATTTTGTTTTGTAATCTTGTTTGCATGACATTTGTGTATGTGTGTTTGTTTACAAAATATAATTCATGTTTACTAGAGGTGTTAGTGTACATTTACAAGATATGGTTAAGATTCTGCTTTTGCAGGGTCTTCTTCTTTTGCCTCTTCTGCTGAAGCTGCATCCTCCTTCACTTCTTCAACAGGTTCTGCTTTCTTATCTTTGTCTTCTGCTTCATCTGAGAGGGAAATTGAAGCAATTAGAGAATACCAGTAGAAGAAAAATATGGCACTCCATCTACATCAACACAGCTCGGCTAAAGGCTACATAATAAATTACAATGAAGGCTGGAGACAAAGACTTTTTGTTGTCTTTCGTATAATATTTTTCTCTAGGCATTCCGACCCTTATGCTTTTCACGTATTCAAACAGTAAGTATCCACAAGTACACATTCCCATTGGTAAACAGTAAGTGTCCACAGATACATATTTACACCAAAACAAAATCCAACTTGTGCCACTAGCAACCATACCCAGTATCAATTTCCATACTACAATGACCTCAACACTTACACTCATGCGAGCCTTGGATAACACTACAGTTGTTTTCTTACCTGTTTTGGCTTCCTTTGCATCCTTGGTCTCCTCTTTAGTCTCCTCATTGGCCACCTCTTTGGCCTCCTTTGTCACATCCTCCTTCTCTTTTTCCTCCTCCTTTTCTTCCTTCTTATCTTCCTTCTTTTCCTCTGTCACTTCCTCCTTCTCTTCCTTCTTCTCCTTCTTCTCCTTCTCCTCCTCTTCCTTAGTCTCTGGGACTTTCTTCACATCAGCAGTTTCTGGAAGTGAAAAAATATTAAGACAACAGTTAGTGCATGCTCATGATCAATTTTATTATGATTCAATTTAGATTATGTTTAAGGGCACTATCTGAGGAATTGGATCAGACCTCCCGTTCACTGGATCAAATCTGATTGCCTCCCTAAAAAATAATATGAGAAAGTACTAAACTTGTAAGGGTCATTCAGCACCTGGGAAGGAGGCAGTTGATCTGAGGAAGTGGAGCATAGCAACAAATCTCTGAATCAAGAGCCCTTCAATAGCCGTAATACAACATCCCCCCCCCACCCCTCCTTCTTAAAGGGTAGTTGGTAGTAGAAGTACAGTACAGTATTATATTCAGGGAAAGAAATGAACCCATAGGTGTTATACAGCACCTGGGGAAATGAGAGGCAATAATTTAGGAATCTTCCATGGGGCACAGTACAGCACAAACTATCACTGTACTCATAATCACCTATTGTCGATGTAGGAGTCAAGTCATAGCTCCTGGAATTGCTTCTTCACCGGTCACTACTAGGTCTACTGCTGTATGACCCTAGTGGGTTTAGCACTTTGTTTTTATTATAATACTAGGTCTACTCTCTCCTGGCTTCAAGAGCCTTATCATACCTCTTTAAAGCTGTGTATGGATCCTGTCTCTACCACTTCATTCTCTAGATTGTTCCACTTTCTAGACACAACTAAGGCTAAAGAAATACTTCCTAGCATTCCTATGACTCATCAGTTTTCAATTTCTGATTGTGCCCTCTTGTTCCTATTTCTCATCTCAAACATTGTCCCTGTCAATTCCTCTCAGTATTTTATATGTTATCATATCCTCCCTAGTCCTCCAGTATCATGTTGAGTTCCCTTAACCTCTCCTCATAGGAGATACCCCTTAGCTCTGGGACTAGTCTTGTTGCAAACCTCTGCACTTTCTCCAATGTCTTGATATTCTTGACCAGGTGGGTTTCATACTCTAATAAGGGCCTGACATACATGGTGTACAGTATCGTGAATGACTCCATACTTAAACGTCGAAAAGCTATTCTTAGATTTGCCAGGTTAGCATTTGTTGCAGAAACTATTTGGTTGATATGCACCTCAGGGAATATGCTTGGTATGATACCCTAGGGTCCTTCTCCTTGAGTGAGATTTGCAACCTTTGCCCTGCAGCCCTGTACTCTGTCTTCAGCTTTTGTCCTTCCCCAAGCTTCATAACTTTGTATGTGGTGGGGTTAAACACCAGGAGCCACTTGTCTGACCTGGCCTGTAACCTGTCCAGATTCATTTGTAGCCTTTCCTGGTCCTTGTTTGCTCGTAATCTCATGCGTTTCATGTCGTTGCAGTCAGGGATACCTCTGACTATCCCTTCTGTCACGTCATTCAAGTACTTATAAAAGAAACAGCACCGGCCCTAGGACTCAACACGAGAGTGCAACAGACAAGTGTAGTAGTAGTAGCAGCAGCAGCAGCAACACATAGCAAGAGGCATTCGTGAGCTTCCCCAGTGCTCGGACTTAATGCCCAAAGCTGGGGTGTAACTCCAAAAGGATCCTGTAGTGCTTGATGCCTTTGCACCTCCTGACATCATCTGCTGCTATGCAGCTGCCACACCTGTCGAGCCCAGTGAGGGTGGCGATGGTGGCAGCCCAAGGTGCCTAGATTCTCCCTCAGAGTCCCATGATGGTGGGGAATGGGGCTAGGCCTGGGGACAGCCAGTCCCAGAAGATGAGGAGTTACTTGTACCTCCTCCCATGGCAGACATTATCTGAGACATTCCCTCGACAGGGAGCCAAAGCTGGGCCACCTCTTGGAAAAGTCTGGGTTGGGGATTATACTGGCGAATCTAGAACAGAGCAGTCCTAGAACTGATCCTTGTGGAACTCCACTTATAACTTGCACCCTTTCTGATACCAAGTCAAGGACCATTACTCCTTTCCTTAATGTCGGATATGTCTTGATCCATTGAAGTTCTTAAAAACCTGTTATTCTTTCCTGCTGCTCTAGTTTTTGTACCAGTCTCTTGTGCAGTACTCAAAAACCTTACAGTCCAGTACCAGCCCTACTCTACTGACACTGCTGCCACCAGCACATCTCGCTCCAACACAACCTCCTGCAGTACCTCTGCACATCACACTCCAGAGTGGACGGGCCACTCACCTCTGAAACCCCACCTCCTACTCCACCCTCTTCCATTTTTCCAGCCCTCCCCTCCCTCTTCCTTCCCATCCTCACCAACCATCAGGTCAGAGAACCTTGGAACCTTACAGTCCAGGAAAATGCAGTCTACCTATCCCTATCTCTTTCGTCTTCTGTTACCTTGTGGTAGATCTCCAGTAGGTTTGTGACAGGATTTTCCATCTTCTGATAATGTCCACAACTCTACATAAAATACATGTCAGTTACAGTAGTCTGTAGTTTAACGCTGTCTGTCTACTTTCCTAAAATTTGGTCCTTATATGTTTAGTGATTTCCATTAATTTTCCTACTAGAATAGCTTCAGTTATGCTAAGCCAGATAAGAATAGGTTCGATTAGGCAAAATGTATAAAAGTGCATATTTAGCAACAAATATGTAAATCAAAGAAAACCGGGTTAAGAGCTTAGTCTAATTATTATTCAATAAAAAAAAAAGACCACGACACGTCTGGCAACGTAGCGGCTGTGCTTAGAAAAAGTTCAAATTTTCACGAGTGTCACCCAGTAGTGAGAACATAGAATGGGTTGCAGAAAATGGGCGTTGATGTGACGGTCAGTGAGTCAACATTGAACTGCGTTGTTTGTGCTCTACTGACAAGGCAGCTAGTGTGATACGTAATGGTTTCTGTGGCTCACTCCCGCTGTTTCTTAACCCCGCCATGGTACCTCGCCCCGCCATGATGCCTCGCCCCGTCATGATGCCTCCCCCCCGGGCCGCCATGGTGCCTCGCCCCGCCATGGTGCCTCGCCCCGCCATGTGCCTCGCTCCGCCAGGGATCCTCGCCCCGCCATGGTGCCTCGCCCCGCCATGGTGCCTCGCCCCCGCCATGGTGCCTCGCCCCGCCACGGTGCCTCGCCCCGCCACGGTGCCTCGCCCCGCCATGGTGCCTCGCCCCGCCATGGTGCCTCGCCCCGCCATGATGCCTCGGCCCCCGCCACGTGCCTCGCCCCGCCATGGTGCCTCGCCCGTCATGGTGCCTCGCCCCGCCATGGTCCCTCGCCCCGCCATGTGCCTCGCCCCGCCATGATGCCTCGCCCCGCCACGGTGCTTCGCCCCGCCAGTGTGCCTCGCCCCGCATGATGCCTCGCCCCGTCATGGTGCCTCGCCCCGCATGGTGCCTCGCCCCGCCATGATGCCTCGCCCGCATGCCTCGCCGCACGGTGTTTCGCCCCGCCAGGTGCCTCGCCCCGTCATGGTGCCTCGCCCCGTCATGATGCCTCGCCCCGCCATGGTCATCGCCCCGCCATGATGCCTCGCCCCGCCATGGTGCCTCGCCCCGACACGGTGTTTCGCCCCGCCATGGTGCCTCGCCCCGTCATGGTGCCTCGCCCCGCCATGGTGCCTCGCCCCGCCATGGTGCCTCGCCCCGCCATGGTGCCTCGCTCCCGCCACGGTGCCTCGCCCCGCCATGGTGCCTCGCCCCGCCACGGTGCCTCGCCCCGCCACGTGCCTCGCCCCGCCATGATGTCTCGCCCCGCCACGGTGCCTCGTCCCCGCCATGTGCCTCGCCCCGCCACGGTGCCTCGCCCCGCCACGGTGCTTCACACTCCCCATGGCGCCTCACACCCCCATGGTGTTTCACATCCCCCATGGTGCCTCACCCCCCCCCGTAGTGCCTCAACCTCCCTCCCCATGGCAGGTGTAATCCCCGAGTTTCATAAACAAAGTGCAAACTAAAGTTATAATAATTACAAACAATTATGCCAGTAAATCATAACTACAAAGAACACTGGACGCCAGTATGGGTGGGTGCCACACCCACTGCGCAGGTCCGCGCATTACGAATCTTACTGCGCACCAGAGCTTCATTGATGCCGGCGAGGAGGGGCCCATGATACAAGGGATTTTGAAATGCTCTCCACTGCCTTGGATCGAATAGGAATGCCTGTTTACCTTGGCTCTGTATGACCCCTACGGGTTTGGCGCTCTCCCATAAATAATAATAATGCGCATCAGTCCCTCGGACGCCCCGGGGCCTTGATGTCAGTCAAGGGCTCCTGATCCTTGAATCATATCCGATTGCCTCCCATTCCCTAAGTGTTGTATGACCCTTACGGGTTTGTGCTTCTACATAATACAGTATATATATATATATATATATATATATATATATATATATATATATATATATATTATATATATATATATATATTATATATGTAGATACACATATATACGTGGACGAAAAATTTATAGTTTGCAGAACAAATGCCTTATTTAAAAATTTACTAGTATTATAAACCTGGGCAAGCCAGCCTAGTTTATTTCCACCGGTATTCTTTCGTCTTCCCCAAAATGTAAGCTAACACCCAGGTACCTACTTACTGAAACAGATGTGGGCACCAGGCTCATAATTTCCACCCGTCCCGGGATCGGACCCGGGTCCTTTAGTTGTTAGTCAAAGGCACTATCATTAAGGGATTTTCTGCGTAGTATATAAGCCTCATCTCCCCGAATATGCTGCACTTTTATGAAGATTGGTGGAGCGAATACAACTCCAGGCTGAGGGACTGATTAACTCAAACTTCTCCCCATCTTACACTTTTCCTTGCATTGGACTGAAGAACCCACTGGCTAGCGAAACGTTCCCAGAATAAACATACCCAAGTGTTGCCCAAGTGTCTCATTTATCAACTTGTAGGTTTTCTAAACAATTTATTCAGAATAAAAGTTGATCACAACGTGTCGAGGTACTCTAGCCAAGACTGTATGCGTTCACCCATCCACTGACTAAACATACACAGGTTAGGTAAGATTCGTCAGGAAACAGGACAAATGTTTCCTGACGCGGGTCTTAGTCAGATGATGACCAGCCTTTGGAGTTTTTGGTCATCTTGACCGAGGCCTTCGGCTGGCTAACCGGTCCCCCTTTAAAAATATGGTCATTTAAAAAACCATTGTTATTAACATACACAGCTGCGCTTTACTTTATATACCCAAGTAACTTGCATTTGCAGGTGCCACACCTGAGAAAGTATTCCATCACAAAACTCAGGCCAAACCTTCAGCTCACAACCAAGGAACAGCAACATTAAGGTCTCCTTTCACCCAGGTAAATGTTGTACGTAACAATCCACAAAAATTGTAATAATTTTAATTTATTTTTAGTCAAGTATTAGATGACTGCTGTGGGTGGCATCCTGGGGGTGGTTGTATACCTCAGAAAGGGATAACCTATAAATTAGATAAGGGAGAATTGTTACCCTGTAAATGAGCCGAAGTTAGATAACTCAGCCCGTATATTCAGTGCTGAAAAAAAAATAAAACTGGGAGGAGATGCAAATATTTTATAGGGAAAGACAAATCATGCCTGAGCGTCATGTTAGCTCAAGAATATGTCAGGGGTGGACAGGGGGGGGGGGTCTAGTTGGACACTTTAATTATCATAATTAGATCAGGGCTTTGTGTCTATACCTTTTACCAAACACTTGAATTATTCCAGCAGAAGTGGAGATTCCAGCTTTTTTTTTTTTTTTGCAGAATGCAACAAAATCGTACAGCATGATTTCCCAAGATGCTCCTCACAACAGTAGACAAACACCTAATACCTTTTTTCACTGCTAGGTAAGCAAGGGCAGCAGTTGTTCAAGGACTCAGGGCCAATAAGTCTGGGCCCGGGAATCGAACCCAAAACTTTTCGGTGTGAGCTAACGCTCTGACCAAATGAGCTATGGGTCACCCGGCGAAACCACAAGAGGGCGTATCCGCTGGTACTTGGCGTTTAGTGGCTCACTTGAGGGATGTTAAAACACTCGTGCAACGAGTTGGTAATATGCAAACCTAGATAAAAACCACAACCCTAAGGGGATGATCAAAATTGTGTGCGTCAATTTCCCGTCCTTCGTCTTATCGAAGTGGAGGCTACCACCTCTTACAGTGACACCAACAAGCTGGAATATTCTACGATTTTTCTCTGTCGACGATTTATGCTGAAAACAAACAATTGGTTTCCACATTCGGGTTTAATAAAGCATAAACTTTATGTATGATAAAGTGACACACTAAGCCCCTAGAAGAGAGGCCATCGCACTCGGTACAAGACTCCTCTGCCTGGGTCTTCTGGTGGCTGCGTCCTTCAACACTCACCAGTGCTCATGGTGGTAGTAGTGTGGTGGTGCTGGCAGTGCTGTTGAACAACGATGATACTCTTAACGATTCGCCGCTGGATCAACTAAGGAAAGAAGCCAGCAGACTCGGACTTTTATACCCTCGGAGGGACTGCCATATCCCGCCACACTGGGGTTTTCATACCCTAGCGAGCACGGGATGCCAGTTGCTTGCTTGGTTAATTGGGTTTCAAACCCTGGTTGGCTGGTTAATGGGACTTTAAGCTTTTCGGCTACACGAGGGGTCATTAAGACCAATTAAGGACACTTCAGTCTCTAAATTAGGCATTAAAGTCAATGCTCAGTTTATATACTGAAATAAAACACACCCTCAGTGTATATACCCTTGGGGAAAGCCAGACCCTGCCACCCGTCACATATTCCTCAAGCTGCCTTCCTAAATAGTTGCATCACAGTGAAGGTCTCTGCTCAGTTATGACGCTGAGATATTCTAAAATCTGTTCATATATCGACACAAAAATAAATACAAGGACTCCAATGGAAATAAGTCACTTTTTCTGATCTTTTTTTGGGGGCATCCTGTGTAGTAGTAAGTTTATTCAGGTATAACACAAATACAGGTACATGAATATCATATATACCAGCATGTGTAAGGGACCTGGGATACCCAAAGAAGGTTAGGTTAGGTTAGGTAAGGTTCGTCAGGAAACAGGACAAATGTTTCCTGACGCGGGTCTTAGTCAGATGATGACCCGCCCTTTGGAGCTTTTGGTCATCTGACCGAGGCCTTCCGCTGGCTTACCGGTCACCCCTTTTAAAAATTATGGTCATTTATAACACCCAAAGAAGTCGAGTGGCTTATTTCCATTGGGGTCCTCACATATTTTTTTACTACTTAAATAAACTTACTTAATCCTAAGTAATTTACACTAATTGTAGTTATGGTACCTGTGCCCAAATAAACTTCAAACAATATCTCTCCTCCTCATACAAGGTTTTCGACATGTATTCCTGTGTATTTGTCACCAGTTGGCATAAAACCGGATTTTTCGCTTTAAAAACTTATATCCGAATTAATATTCATGAAGGCCTGGGGATGTGTAGGCATAAATTTGAATGCCATTCCTTGCATATAATTTTTTATGACATTAACAGCTCTTACAGTCAAAACTTTTTAGGAAATTTATTTTTTTTACTTCGAAATGTGTGGGAAAATGTATAATAATAATAATAATAATAATAATAATATAATAATAATAAAAAAATAATAATAGTGTTGTTGGTGCGGGGTTTATAGGGCCACTGACAACATACGCCGTATCGAGCCCGAATAATATAGTGGTCACTGCCTTAAAGGCCATTCCCAACAACCAAAAACCACAATGATAGTGGAGTAATTGCAAAGGTTTGGAAATTAAAATCAAAACAAAAATCACTTTACAGGGAAATATTAAATTTCAACTTTTTTAAAAAAAAAGGCCCAAGTTTGGCCCGATGTCAAAATCCCTTTCCACAACCAAAACCACAATAGGGTTTTAAAAATTTATAATTTAAAAAGAAAAATAATATATTGTTTGTAATAAAAATAAATAAAATAAAAATATAAATCATTACGTTTAAAACAGTCCATCCCAAAATTTAAATGTTGTTGGGTTTTTAACCTGGAGGTACCTAGTTATCGGGGGCAACCCCCCCCGGGGGCCAGAAAAGGCCTCCCAATGGTCTAGGGGCCCCGAAAAACTACCTTAAGCCGCCGAAGAGCCGACTAAACCACACCCGGCCCATTCCACTTGGGGCTATAGGTGGAATTCCCCAAAAACCCAAAAACCGTCAAAACAAGAAGTCCGGAGTACAGCATTATTTGCAAAAATTTTTCCAATTCTTCAAATCATTGACAAAAGAATTAAGCCCGAAACCGTAAAAATTCCTAACAAAAAGTTAAATTTTAAAGGGTGGACCAACCAGGGTGCCTTGAACCCAAACTCCTTTCGGCGGGGCGCATCCCCCGAAAGGACCCGGTCAGGAAAAAACGTCCCTGCCCGACGAAAAACAACCTGACCTAGGGGTTTATACCTTAAAAAGGGGGCACTTAAGGGATGGAATGTTATTAAATGATTTCTGGAACCGGTGAGGGGAACTTAAAATTTACATTGAAAAAATTTTGTTCTTTTATATCCATACAAGGAAAACATTGGGGCTTTCCAAAGGGGCACTTCCAATGCAACCAGGGAAAATAAAGTAGGTAACCTGGTTTAGCCACTAAGTGTGGGTCACACCCAAAAAATTTTTTCTTGGGCCCAAAATCCTAAATTACAAAATTTGCTTACATAATCCGATTAGATTTTGAAAAGTTGCACATGCCCTTTTAGAAATTAAAGTTTTATTAAATAAATAAGAAATTCGGTACCCCGGGACACATAGGACTTGACATTTTAACACTTAAAACAAAGGAAAATCTATAAACGGTTTACAAAATATAAAAAAATTGGTTAAATTCATAAAAAATAAAGGGGTAAAAGCGTTCAAAACAGGTTAAAAGACAATCCACTTTTGGGTTCGGGGGTCCCCGCCCCACCTAGTTTCCCAAAGAAAGGCCCCGGATCACTGGAATCGAAACAAGGAAACACGCTTTGAAAGGCTTTAAAAAGGTGTATAAGCAAAAACTCAAGGGAATCCCGAAAAACTTAATTCTAACAAAAACACAAAAAGGAGTCCTTAAAACTATAAAGATGCTGCCCCAAAAACACAAGATCCCCCTCCTTAAAAACTAAAAAAAATACAACACAGCACCCACATTTTCCGGAAAGATTAATTGCATAGGTGCACCTGAGGGCCTTATCAAATAGTGTAAAATTTCCAGGATAAACCCAAAAGTTTAAAAGGACTTAATTTTAAACTGGAGAGTAATTGAAAGGTATTACTACCCCCCGACACGCCTTACAATAAGGGGAAAAAAATTAAAACCCGGGAAGTGTTTCCTTTAAGGACTATTTAAAACCCCAGTACCGCAGTGCAAAAAAAGGATGGTGGTAATGGTAGGGATGGCCCCTGTGTAAAAAGCCCTTAGGGGAAAGGCAAAATTAAGCGAGGGAAACGCGTTATGGAGTGTCAGAGAGGGTAAGGCGGTTACCTGACTGACACGTATACTATAGTGAGCGAGGGGGACGGGTGGTGGGGTGACCACATTACCGTTGCTCCACCCCTACACTACCTCTGTCGACGCCCCGTTCCATCACCCTCCTGCCCTGTTGACGCCCTCTTCCAGCCCCTGTCTTCTGTTGACTCCCGTTCTAGCATCACTATACGCTTCTAACTTCAGTTCTAATGCCCATCCCAAAAGCTAACCAGACTACCTAAGAGGGGAGAAGGACATGATATATAAGGAAACACATGATAACTAGAAAGGGCAGAGGGGAGAGAGAATGAGAAGCTGGAAAACTAGTACAAGGGGCATAAATGAAGATTGAAGACGATGAAGTACTTCTTGAACCTCGGTGTTGTCAGAAAGTGGAATGACTCAGACGAGGAGATGCTGGAAGCAGACACTATACATAGTTTTTAACGACAGGTACGACAAGGACCTTCAGAACTAGGGATGCCAATCCAATGATGATCCTTTTTAGATGACTAGTTTCACTCTAAGCTGGCATACTGCTGTACATTAACAGCTCCATTCATGGCAGGTGAAAGCGCATATCTAGAGAATGTACAGAGAACCTTTACTGCACATATAAGTTCCGTTTAAACAACTACTGGGAACACTTGGAAGCACTTGACTTGTACTCACTGGGAGCACAGGCGAGAGAGGTACATCATAACCTACGCCTGGAATTTTCTAAAGGGACTGGTCCCAAATCTGTACACAGAAATCACTCCCTACGTACATACCTACGTACCTACTTAAAGGTAGCAGGTAGGTACGTGCCGGATCAGCCGGGCTGGGGTTCGTACGTTGGACTACGTGCGGTAAGCAGTAACAGCCTAGTTGATCAAGCCCTGATCCACCGGAAGGCCTGGTCATGGACCGGGCAGCGAGGGCGTTGACCCTGGACTACTCTCCAGGTAGACTCCAGGTAAGGACCATCAGGCAGGAAACTAGTTAGATTATTACTATTATAATCAAACAGAAGCGCCAAGTTAAACTGTTGCTATTCAATTCAATGAGTGGCCAGGGGCTGTGACTCGACCCCCCACAACCACTGCTTGGTGAGTAATTTTTCATACAATTTGTCAGAGTGGGCGCCTGTGACAAGCGGGGTTCCACAGGGGTCAGTCCTAGGACCTGTGCTGTTCTTGGTATATGTGAACGACATAACGGAAGGGATAGACTCAGAAGTGTCCTTGTTTGCAGATGAATGTGAAGTTAATGAGAAGAATCAAATCGATGAGGATCAGGCAGGACTACAAAGAGACCTGGACAGGCTTACAAGCCTGGCCCAGCAACTGGCTCCTTGAGTTTAACCCTGCCAAATGCAAAGTCATGAAGTTTGGGGGAAGGGCAAAGAAACCGCAGACACAATATAGTTTAGATGGCCAAAGACTCCCAAACCTCACTCAAGGAAAAAGATCTGGGGGTGGGTATAACACCGAGCATATCTCCTGAGGCCACATCAATCAGATAACTGCTGCAGCATCGGGCCCCTGGCAAACCTACGGATACCTCAGTAAGAATTCGTTCAAGACTCTGTATACCATTTACGTCGGGCCCCTTTACTGGAGTATGCAGCACCTTTTGGGGAATCCACACCTAGTCAAGCACGTCAAGAAATTAGAGAAAGTGAAAAGGGTTTTGCAACAAGACTAGTCCCAGAGCTACGGGGATTGTCTACGAAGAAAGGTTGAGGGAAATCGGCCTGACGACACTGAAGGACAGAAGGGTCAGGGGAGACATGATAACAACATATAAAATACTCGCGGAATAGACAAGGTGGACAAAGAGGGATGTTCCAGAGAAGGGACACAGACACAAGAGGTCACAATTGGAAGTTGAAGACTCAGATGAATCAAAGGGATGTTAGGAAGTTATTTCTTCAGTCATAGAGTAGTCAGGGCGTGGAATAGCTAGAACGTGGGCGTAAATGGAGGTGGAACCATACATAATTTTTTAAAGGGGAGGTATCATAAGGCTCATGGAGCAGGGAGAGAGAGGGCCTAGTAGCAATCAGCGAAGAGGCGGC